GAATCCTTGGTCGCGTGTTCAGCATTACTTGGGCTAAGCCGACGAGATTTATGCCATAAGCTACAAGATGACTTCGTCAGAGGAGAGCTCATCCTTACAACGAAATCGATATAATATTTTCCTCCGTGTATTCGCACACCTGTTTTTATTTTTCTCCATCTTATCCTCGAAATTGATTCGATCGTCCGACACTCGTTTCTCCCCCTTTATTTTTCGTAAAATTCACTCGATAAAGTAAAAAAAAAGAAAAAAAGAAAAGGAAAAAAAAATTACTATTACAATAATATACAAGCTACACGCGACGAAATAAAAAAAAGTATACATGACATTTAAAGGAATTTCAATTTGCATAAACATTTTATTACGTAATATAAAATATGATCATATGATCTTCTCATTGAATTCGATTCGAGACGAAAATTCTCCCTGAAAAAAGCAGCAAACATTCTCAGTGGAAGGGGGGAAAAAAAAGAAAAAAAAGATCTACGTCGAGAAAGGGAGCACCATTAACATTTGCCATTTCGGTCACGATTTTTTCTTTGTGGAACTTTACGAGGACACACTAAGCCGAGCAAGGAACCGTTTCATTGTGTAAACGTGTACGTATAATAAAAAGGTTGCAAAGGTCAGCGTATACATTCGAGAAACTCGGCTCCCTTTGTGAATGAAAGAATCAACGAGAGAGTGGCCGAGCGAGGGAAAGAGAGATAGGAGAGAAAAATTTTCCAGACGCCAGAAAAATGTTCTCAACAATCTGCAAGCAGGTGTTGAGAATGGGACCTGCGCTTTCGAACGAACGAACGCTTCGATGCAACCTAGTGCTGCATGCACACGTGTGTATGCGCCCCCCTCCCGCCTCCCCCCGCCCCTCCTCCTCCTCCCCTCCTCCCCTGTCCGTGTTAGAATCGTTCGCATCCTGCCGAGAAGAGGAGTTAATACGACGATATTTTTGTCAAAGCAATGGAGTGCGCGCAAAAAGATATTTTTTTCCGCGGAAGAAATTCCGACAAAGAAATTTGGAACGACGTAAATCCCCAATTATTTCCAACGAAAGAATTCCAGATCCAAATGAACGCGACCGCTCTTTTCCTCTTCTATCCCCCCATTGAAGAATTAATCACGGGGTATACGCGATAAAAATGCAAGGTTAACATCATTGTGTGGAATAGATAAGGAACACGCGGCTCGTTTCAATCGCACGCATACAAACGCCGCCTAGAAACTATCTTTAATTACGTCCGTAACAGCACGACCAGATCGAGTCGTGACGTACGTTCTTCTTCTTATTACATTTGTCATTTGGGTCACGTATTTTATTTCTAATTTGATAAGCCCCTAAGTAATTTTAACTAATATTTTAACTAATACGATTAGCGAGAGGAATTGTGAAATGTGTACGATTGAATTTCGAAGAGAAATAATAAAAAGACGGAAAGTTGAAAAATATAATTATAAATACGATTTTGAAGTTGTGAAACGTTCGCGATTAAGTCTCGAGGATGTGTATTTGCGAAAAGATTAATCTTTATGTTAATTATTTCAATAATTTTCAATGAATAAATTCTATATTTGAAATATAAGATAGATATAAGTGTGCCAAACAACGAGGATCAATCTCGATTTGAAAAATCTTTTCACGCAAATAATAGTAATAATTAGTTTTAATTACATTTTTATCTTAAATAAAATACGTAATGTTTAAATATCCAAAACTTTAACGTAAAAGTTAATAAAAATATCATATTTAAATCGTAAATAAAAATTCGAACTAATATCAAGCAAACTTAAATACTAACGAAATCAAGTAGAATTTAAAAAAAAATATTCGCGATTGAATTCCGAATACGAAGAGATTAATAAAAAAATATTGTACCATGACGAAAGATGAAAAGTCGAATAAGGCCATTGGATCCGCTACGTCACGCATAACGCGATAAATGTTAAAACTACGACCTTCGAACGCAGAAACGATACGGTTAATAATTCAATAATTTCGCAGACTCTCGGTTACAACATTTTATGGCTCTTTGCTGGCTTGCACGTGAAGATCCTTGGATGCGCGGGAGAGGAAGAAGGCAGAACACGAGGAACAAATAACGAGGTTACCGGAACGTCCCACAATTAATTTGCTTGCAAACGGTTACGCTCTGCGAATAATTATTCAAAGTCCTAGCTTCTGCTTGTGCAAAGTGCAACTACTTAAAGGGTTGAACGATTCATCGACGATAACGTTAAAATGTAAAAGATAGCCCGAGACCACGTTTTAATCAACCTTAGCAATCGTCTGACGAAAAACGTTCTCAATAATTAAAAATTAATTCATATCGTTCGATTAAATTCTAAACGGAACAAATTTTAATTAGTTCGATAATACGTTCTCAAAATTTATACATCGATAATAATGAATCTATTAATATATTATCACGTTTGATAAATATTTTTAAAAAAAGAACAAATTTCGATTTATGCGTTTAATACGTTTTCAAAATTTGTACATCGATAATATTTTCCGATATATAAATTATTAATATTTTATTTTATACTTGTATGTATATTTTATTACACTCGTTAAAATTATATTTCGAGAATTGTACTCGAGAAAGAACGAACGAGCGAACGAACACTTTTTCCCTTCAACGAAAGTCGAATAACAATGCTCCGCGACGCTTCACATTCGACAGGCTCGAAAGTTAATCGATGTCGATTAAAGAGCACGCGGGCTTCATTAAAATACAATTAAAAAGAAAGTATCGTCGTCGGTTTTAATAGTTTAACTGCGTCTAACGATCGTGTCCCGCTCGTCGTTAAAACTTGCTCGATCGCACGAAACGTCGCGATAAAAGTGAAAAAAAAAAAGAAAAAAAAAAAGGAGAAGCGAGTACCATCCGCGACATGGTTTCCGCGCAATTCTCTGTATTTAAAGTAGTTACGTATTAAAAGTTCCTTTTATATTTAATTACATATTCCAGAATTCCGGTCCGCGTATCGCGGGACCCTTCAATTTCATCTCATTTCTATGCAAGCTTTTCAAACATCCACGCGAACCCGGCCTTATTCATCGGAACACTGGGCGCCCTTATCTTTTTGCACGCTTTATGTTTTAATGAAAATTTTCTACTGTGCCGAAATTTTCTCCAGATATTCGATTTAACGATACACTTTTACGATAATTGTTCCAACGAACCAACGATATGTATATTTCATGAATCACTTTTAATTTTATTTTCATTGTATTCTATACTTCTAAACAGGTAATATCGATAGAATTTTAATGAGATTGATTAAATATATAAGAGAATTCCGAACGTATTGACAATTGAGAACCTTGCAGAAAAAAGAAAACTATTCATTTTTGACAATTGTTCAATTATTACGAGTAACTAAAAAAATTTATATTATTATAATTTCTATTTTTGTTAGTAGTTTTTGATTTACACATAATATATTTAGTGTAAATCAAAATTCGATATTGTGTAATTTAAGTATAAATGCGATGTGTAGTAAGATTTTATTAACAAAACAATAAATTGTAAAATGTAAATGTATATTTTTAACGTTTTAAAAATCATTTATTAATAAAATTCATAAATGATTTATCAACTCAATAATTAATAATTGTGATGTAATATGTGAAAATATATATTTTTTAATGTTAAATCAAAGCAATAATTTTATAATTTTAAGCAATTTTTCTTTAATTCCTTCTTAATTTATTCTCTTTACAAGGTCTTCAATTCAATCGCCATCGGTGGCATTGTACTTGTCACTAATAATTCTTTTGATAAAGGAATGATGTAAGACGTAAATATAACAACGAAGAAAAGCGGCTGAGACGGCAGCAACGACTTTTCGAAGTTTCGCTTTCTCAGCGGAACATTCTTTCCCCGATAAGATAATATTTCCGCGCGAAGAATTTTAAATAGCTCGTCGAACGGGAATTGACGCCTTTCGTCGTCACTTCGCATTGCACGATCAGATTAAAACTACTCGTTAATTGTGAAACGATAATGAAAAATCCAAATAGATTCATTAGCGAATTAAATTTTCGACAGATTTTGCAATCATTACCCTTTTTTTATCTATGTATTTATATGATTAATAATACGATAATGCTATATTCGTATTGTTGTAGATCAACTCTTATCTTTAATATTTATCTTTGTTAAAAATTCATTTGCAATTTAATCTATTGTATTTATAGTATAATGATATTAAAATATTATATCTAGAAACAATTCAAGATTTCATTTTGTCACCGTTTTCGAAAAAGTTTTAGTCATTCAAATTTCTATTGAATAAGTTTGAAATACTAATAAAATGAATAACTAAAAGCGTCATCAATTGGAGTCTAAAGAAAAACAAAACAAGATTGAAATTCTTCGAAACGATAACTTGCCAAAATACTTGAGGAAAATTTGTTTGCAAACAATTACTTTATCAGAACTCACAAAAGAAAAGTCATCGGCGTGGAATTTCTAACAGTCGCCAAATATTCGAGACTTGAAATATAATAACTGCCAAGAATTGCGTTGAAACCAATTTAATCTATCTACACTTCAAAACAGATACTTAATTTCATAATTATTATCTGAGATATTGATTATATCCTATAAACGGTTAATAATGATTTTGAATCGATCGAACATTATCGAAACGTAAAGAAAACGTTTTAACGCTAACTTCAAATGCTTGCTCGATGTTTTTCGAAGATTTATATCGCAACGAAACACGAACGAAACGCAAGTTTATCGATTATGCAGTTATCCGGGAGTTTTTTTGATTTGTAATTACATCACTATGAATCTTGGATATCGACAAATTATCGAAATTTTCATGAAAACGAATTGAAATAAACTAAATAGAAAATCGAGAATAATGAGAAAAAATAACGAAATAATTATCGAATGAAAAGCAGATACCACTCGCGATATTGACAGAATTGGGACACATATCGATTGTAATCACGAAAATAATATTTAATATAATATTTTAGTACTTACATAAATTGTGAGCCGCAATGTTGCGCTCCGTCGGCAAGTCGCAGAGTAGTGTATAGTATATCCAATAATCCACAAAGAATAGCGTAATACTGCACTGATAAAACTTTCACTTTATGCTTTTCTTTTTCTTTTATTTGCCAAATAATCGGCTTTTCTTTCAAATCACTGATTTAAATCACACTTAAAACAGTCGCACCACTTGTAGGTTTGAACACACACCTCACGAAACACCACAAAACAATACGAAATTGAATCAATGAAGAGTACTCGATGCAGAAATTGCTGGTTGAATAGCACCGGTTTCCAATGTTTGTGCGTACGTATATAATCGCCTGGTTATGTATCCAAACGAAGAAAACTCCTTACTGTAAAAGCACGAACGTTATTTTCGATCACACTGCTAAGATAGTTGAAAGAGAACTGACGTGTTCGCGGAACAGGCGCGCGTTTTGCTCCGTGAACTTGGTCAAGACGAAAGAAATCGACTCTTGTAACGAATCGAATCGTATCGAATCGAGTCGTTTGGTATTATCGAAACAAATTGCGTCGAAAGCGCGAAAATCGCGCGAACCACACTCCGAAATCGGTGTATCGCACATGAAAGACGGGAAAGCAATGCGGCACGAAATTCACACAGAGGCACTGCTAACGAGACGAAAATGACCGATCGGCCGATCCGATGGAACACGAGCACACACGAGAACGCGACTACCGATGATCGAAGATTCTCGCTTGCAACCGACAAACGAGAAGGACAGAAACCGAAGACGGATTACGTATAGAGCGCACGCGCACGTTCTAACGCGCTTTCGTTACGTAAAAGAAGTGCGCGTTGGTTAAACGTCACCACATCAGGATGGTACACACTACGCGGCTTCGTGTAAAAGGTATAGAGAGAAGTAGTCGGAGAACCAGGTATATTTTACCGCGGACGCGAAAGGCACCGTGTGCTAACCTACTTCTCCTTCCGTTGACTGAAACTCTTCGCACCAACAACGATGACGACGACACGACAACGTCGAGACCCACACGGGTGGCACGGTACACGCGGCTCGTTGTCTCTCCTCTCCTCCGCACGCGCGGTCCCTCGCTTCTTCGACTTCGCTGTTTGTGTCACCGCGACACCACGAAACCAGAAAACAAACAACTGCCGTCGAGGACGCGTCTTGTTTGCAGGAAAGCTCGACTCTTTTTCACTGGGCGGAACTCGTCGTTGCGGGGGAAAAGGGGGACACAGAGGGAGAACGAGGGACACACATACACACAGTGGCGCGCGCGCGCGTGCCCACGGGAGGGAATGAGAGAAAAAGAGAAGGAGAAAGAGAGAAAGAGAGAGAGACAGCGCGGCAGAACGACACAATCCGACTACGACGGAGGTCCGACTCGAACTGAGCGCCGAGCGGCTGATCGAGGCCGACGTCGGCCGACTCGGCCGAACCGAGGCGCTCGCCGATAGCGCGCTCCTTCCCTCCCTCCCTCCCTATCCCTCCTATACCGAATCCCTCCCGCCGCCCATCACTCCTCGTCCTAGCTTCACAGCCGCCACCCTCTTGCCTCTTGCTCTTCCCTCTCACAAACTCACTGGCCCTCCTTCCTCGCCGCGCCTCTCCTCTCTAGTCCGCACGTTTGGTCTCGCGTTCCCGCTCTTTCCCCTCTCAAACAAGCTCGACGTCGTGCCTCACCGCTCCCTCCCGCCGCGTCTCACCAAAGTTTCCGACACACCGGTAACTTATCGGAATTTACTCGTTATTCTGAATTCGTGAACGACCGCGTGCTCCACGATAATACCGTGCACAAGAATACGATAGATGTGGAATAGTATGCAGTAGCGCAATTTGAGAAAGCACTGACAATGTCAACGAATAATCGGTAAGTAAACATCACTTTCGATTCTCGAAGCGTAATCGATTGTGCGATACAATTAATTATTGACCGAGAAAACGAATGCGATACTACATAATTAATTATTGAATATTTAGCTATTTTTATATTTATCATTTATTCATGAAAATAAGTTTTTTAGAATATTTATTCAGATAATGATTTTTTTTTTAAAGTATACATGTATATATTTACATATAATATTCTGAAACCATAACCTCTAACCTGTCAAAATCATTGATCACTAATCGACAAATTATAATGATTGCTAATTTTATAACAATTACAATGAAAAAATTGTTATATAAAGGAAATCTGCAAAAAAATTTGCTCACAAATATTAATTTTATATCGATTACACATTTATGTTTTATGTTTGCTTTAAAATAATACGATAAATGATACAAGACTGAGATAGGTTATTATACGAATATATTAGAAATGTAGATATAAACAAAGAAGAGAAGTAAATAACAATACTGACAAAAGATTAACATATATTAGTATTATTATATTAAAGTGTAAATTAAATTATATAAATATAACAAAACTTTTCTATAAAATGTAATTGTAAAAATAGATGAGTATTTTGTAGGTTATTCGTAGAAATAGATGTCATTTTTTACGAAATGTTGTATAAAGTTTATCTAACTTCGAGGAAAAATATGCAACAGCTTCTGATAATCAATATTTTTTAAAATTGTTTTTTCTTAAAATAAAGATATGCATATAAACGTAAATTATATAATATTATAAACACAATATTGCAAGAATTTTTTAATTGGAACACAATGCATGTCTACGCATAAATATTCATATGCAAAATGTGAACAATGCGAAGTATAAAAATTATCGATTCGAGAAATATTGGAAACTTTCCAAAAAAAGAGATCATTACTTTACGGTAGCTCCTACTTGCTTCTGGAAACTATCCAGAAGATATATGGCGTTACCTTTTCGTGTAATATCATCAAAAGTCTCTTTTTAAAAACAGGCAAATAAAATTAACACCATTCTGTGGCTTCGTCAGTATACAAGTTGTTCACTTGTACGCAATAACGAGCAATTAAAAACATTACCGCGTTCATATTTTATCATATTTATCTTTGTAGAAAAAAAGCTTGATGCTACACTACTAAACGCAATGCTTCGAATTATGCAGAATTCAAATTTACATACGATCTCATCGCGTTTCATTTATTTTCGCGCGTGATAATCGCATCGAGATTGATACGTTACATATAATGCAATTTTTCTTCCGCTATCATGAAAATCCAAAATATGAACTTATGTGAATATGTGAATTTTTTTATAATTTACCATTGAATAGTTCTTATACATGTTTAGTCGCAACTTAAGGTATGTATGCAAAGAATTTGCGAACATTGTTCTTAAATAGCATTCACTGACCAATTCGCTGCACGTTTCTCTGCTTGCAAAAGTGTTCACACTGCCAACGAACATAGTTTGAGAACTGTTCGAGAACAGCAATGTGAATCCAACCTTATACCGGTGTCCAACAAGTTGCCGACATCGAGCTAGTAAACAGAGAACCACCAATAGAGAATGCACAGCATTAATCACTGAGATCATTCGTCATCAGTGTGGTGTCATCCTCGATCCTAGGAAAAAGTTATCGTTAATTTTGAGAAATGTTTGTCTAAAGATGTACGAATAATTTTGCAAAATGCAAATTATCGATGGATACGCCATATCGCTTGTATATAATGTCGCTTACAAATGAGTCATTTCAGTTTAAACGCTTACGAGTTCATCTTAGTTTTGCAAATAAAGCGAAAAACATTGCAGACATCAATTGTTTGATCAAGCTGTAAATAATGAGATAAAAGAGGAAAAGATAAAAATAGACATGTTGGAAAAATTATCTTAACGATGCATTTACATCTTTAATCTATGTCTTCATCGTATTACAATTAACAAGTAGTTAATGTTCGTACATTATATATTAATATATCTACCGGAACGTTGAACTTGGCAAAGTTGCAAAGTTATCGGTAACTTCGAACAGAACGGCGATCAACCGAAGCCAATTACGGTGTTCGACGATGTAGCAACGTGAATAAGCGACATACATCGAAGAAGGGGGAAAAATCAAAGAAAAGACGGAGAAAGAGCGAACAGAGAATACGAAATCTAGGTCACGACCCAAATCATTCTCCTCCGGCCTCCGTTTGAATCTTTCGCAATGCATGAAAGTGCCCAAAGCGTTTCGAAAGCCCCCCACTCTACTGAGTACACGCTGTTTCGCTATGAGCTTTCCTCGTTTTCTCCAATTGAATCTCGAGCAAGGCTCGAATAAAACCGCATCATGTACTAGACATGCATTAGATATATTCCTTGTAGGAGCTTAACCGTAGATATTTCATGTACCGCATGGAATGTTCTTCATATCCTCGCAATGCCGTACAACGCTTCTTACATTCTCAATATCTTATCCACTTTACTATTTCGTTCCATTAAACTGAATACACGTCATCATATTTCCATAATATTCCAAAATAAGTGCAAAATGATGATTATCTAATAAAATATTATATTCGATTTATTAGCAATTGGATTACGAAAGTTGTGTGAGTCCATTTTTATAAAAAATTGAGAAAATAACTAAGAATGAATGAAAATTAAAATTAAAATTATTTTTATTTACATTAAAATTATAGAAAATTTATAATTTATATTTTGAAATATTCTTATTTGCTTTGATCGACTGAAAATTTCTTAATATATGTGAAACAATATTAATTTTCATAAAAAAACATTTGTATGAGTTGAATTTATATTAAAAACGTTTGTACAGTAAAATGATAATAGGACATCCTAGGGACTTTAGCAGTACAATGTTATCAAATATGGCGGATTATAAAACTGTACTTCTAATACAAAAAGTAATAATATAAATATTAACATAATAATGCAGTTTATTAACAAAAAAGAATAATGCATATAATATATACATATGCAAATAATATGTAAATATATTCATACGAAATAGAAATCGTAATTAGAGAATAATATTCATAAAACATGATTATGATTAGAATTATGTATGTCGGATTATTAAATATACCATAAATTACTGCATGTTGAAATTTTATTGTATATATAATGAATTCATAGAAAGCTGAACAAATTTAGCTTATCTTTAAATTAAAAGAAATACAAATTTCTAAACATCTTGATATAAAGATGAACATTAATTTTAGACTAAACGTTACATTATAACCAATCGAAAGAAACTATTCAAAGAAAATAATTCACCAATTTTCGTTTAAACTAGCACGATCAGGGAAACGTATTCTTAAACGGGACCGATCGGAGCGGAAACACGTGTCCCCGACTGTTTTTCAAATGAGGTCAGAGGAAATTTCTGCCGTCGGCCTTGAAAGTGCACTTGATTCGCGAGCGCGTGCCTCGTAAACGCACAAGGCAACACGCGCGAGAAAGCTCCGGATACTCGTGGCGCGTGTTCAGAGACGTTCCGTCATTCGTTCGGCTCGGTCGCTCTTTCGATTTCTCGACGTCAGCCACGTTTATACGCACACGCGTATATGCAGCCAGCAACGATCCACGCGTGCACACGCCAGTGCCGTGCATTAGACGATTGCAACGTTGCCTGACGTGCCGCGCTGTATCGTACGCGTTGTTGCCAAGCCATCGGATTAACCGGCATTCCCATAGAACCATGCGAGTGCGCGCTCTCAGCCTTCGAACTTCGCGACTCTGCGAACCATCGAACGGATCGCATTTCGAATTTTCTCTTGCTCGTTAAGTACGTCGTTCGATCTTTTTATTCCTTGTACATTGCCACTTTAACGGGATTATATGTATTCCATTCGATTTGATCCGGATTCGTTCTCGAAAGCATAGCGTTTTACGAAGAAACAGTATCACGGTAAATCGAAGTAAGTCAAGTGTGATACGATTTCGTGTTTTCTATTTGAATTCAAAAATTCTGTGTAAGAATATTTTGTTTATAATTTTATTTTTATGATATGTAAATATATTCTTTTAAGTTTTTCTTCATAATATATCAATTTAAAACATTTGTAATGAAAATTGAAGGAATTGAAGTTAATTGGAAATTTGTTGAATATTCAGACTGATCTATTTAAGCCTTATGATAGGATAATTCAACCAGGTGAGAAGAAGTTAATTGAGCAACTATTTTTAAATTAAAAACATATAAGGAGCCGATCTATAACAAACGGAAATAATAATAACGAATCTTGGAATGAATACCGCTGTACAAAAGATTATAATACAACAAAGGAAACGGATGATTAAATAAAGTATCGTGATTGTGAGTAGTGGTTACACAAAATCTGTGTAAAATATGGGAAATATCGTTGGAATAATTGAAACAGAAAAATTTAAATTAAAATAACATATAAAGTATTGTTATAATAAATATGAAATTACATATCGGTTTTCTATAAAAAAATCTATATATTCCACATATTTTGTAATTCAATTAA